TTTGCATTCCTGCTCCATCAGCATTTCTTTGCTGTTAGGTGCTAGCTAAAATTGAATTTTAAACAAGGATTTTTCAGCTTCTTAATATCTTGTACTAAATATTTAATATGTTGCCAGAAAGTCCATCTTGTAGCCAACAAGAAAATTTTAGATTTTTCTTAAAAAATTCAATTTCTTTAATTGCACAGAATTCATGGAGACATAACTGTAGAACCGGGTAAGATTTATTTGTTATATCAGGTATTATCTTAGATGGAAACCATCTATCCTTTATACTGGTATGACCACCACTGTGAATTTTTACTTTTTGGCCTCCCTTTTTAAAAATATGAGCCATCTGCCCTGGCCTGGTGGCTCAGTTGGTTGGAGCATCTTCCTGTACACCAAAAGGTTGCTGGTTTGAATCTCAGTCAGGGCACATACCTAGGTGTTAGGTAAGATCACTGGTGGGGGTCGGGGCATGTTCGGAGGCAACCAAATGATGTTTCTCTTTCACATCTCTCTCTTGCACTCTCTCTCGCTCTCTCCCTTGCTTTCTCTCTCTAAAATCAATAAACACATATCCTCAGATGAGGATAAAAAAAAGAACCATCTGCTACATATATGTTAATAAAAGTTTTTAAAAATGCAATTCAAGTATTAAAAATGTCTTATTGATGTTAAATGGTCAATCTTGTAAATGGTCAGTCTTGTAAAATGTTGATATTTTTACAAAAAGGTTAGCCCTTCTTACAGTCAAAATACCCTAGGGTGATAGTATTGGGAGTACTATTTTAGTAATAAAGATTATAGCGTGGATAAGTTCCCTACAAGGCCCCAAGATGGTAATACCCCTAGATTTTGTCTTTAAAGAAAACTGCTGAGAGGCAATAATTTTTTTTGTATGTGTCCCATTTTCATTAATGCATGGTAATTGATGGAGTTGCAGTGACTTGTAGCAGTAATGAGTTCTAAACATAATAATGCACTCTTTTCTAATAAGTGAGCACTGCTGGGGTTTAAAAGCATACTAAATCAGTTGCTTTAGTATGAATTTATTAGTTTTTTTTCAGCATTAGCTTTAATAGTAGTTATTTACATAAGCGTACATCCCATTAACCGCCATCAGGGCTGGAAAACATGCTGAACTGTTCATATTTTCATATAATTATTGAACATAATGGTTTCATTTGCATTTCTAAACAGTGATGTTTCTGTCAGCCTTGGAAATAGTGTCTTTACGCAGTCCCTATTTCACATCCACTTATTTGACATCGTTAAATTTTATGCTAATGTGCTTCCCTGGAATATCATCAGTAGGACAGATGCTTGTGCTTTAATATACAAATCAGGGATGCTTTTCCATCCCCCAAACGGCAAAGAAAATTTTTAAAAATCTGCACTTTTAGATATAAAGTCTGTCTCCATATAAATAGGTTTATGAAATAAAACTTTCAGGGTTAAATGTTATAATCTGGTTTTCCCTTCAAAATACTTCATTATGAATAGCTACCTGACTAGGGTTAGTTTTGTTGTATTGAATGAGGAGATGAGCTTAGTAAAGATCTTGTTGCTTATGAATATTTAGAATTCTGCTTCTGAAATGTTGATCTTGAGATGCAAGTTTTTCCGGGCCTTTGAATGTATCAGGCCACAGTGTTAGATCTAAAAGTAGTCTCTGTATTTTTGTTCCTTCAGTTTCTTAACTTGGATTGTAATACTTCACAGTGGGAGATGTTATGTTAATGCTCTTGGGCATTTAAGCTCTTGTATACATTTAGAAGATGTTCAGTGTAAAAGATGAGTCAGCTGGTGGGGGAGGGGTGCAAGATTGGAGGCGAACACATGTCAATGAGATAGCAGAATTAATATGGAAAGACAGACAGATTTTATGGCAAACTCCTTGCCTCTTTCTATCTGCTTTTGTTTCTCTAACATTTATGGATGCTTTTGTGAATGCTGTCAATCGGATGGCTGGAAAATTTTAAACAGGAGCAAAGTAAAGAATTGTTTTGAGAGTTGATTCAGGTATTTTTAGCGCCCACTAGGAAGACACTGGCTCTTCTGGGCCCTTCTTTTCTTGTGTTCTGACAGCTCAGGACAGCACTTTACTGTTTACTCTTAGGGACCTGCCGTGCCAGAGCTGACTCTGCAAAGTTCAAAACGCCAGGTTGGCAGTCTGGCAAGATAGGGTAAAGGAGTAGCTTTAAGAGAAGTTCTTGCCCCAAATTACTTGCTAAAAATATATTAGAACTGATATAGCATAAAACTGATACAGCATAAAGGGATTATTTGGATAGAAATGTTATTTGGCTTATGACGTCAGGAGGCAACTGAAATTTTTGCAGGGACTTCTGTTCTTTGGGGAATTGACAGGAAAGAGATTATAAGGGTTGTGAAGAAACTATGATAACATTGGAGTTTCATAGCTATTCATTTTTAACCCAACTCTTTAATGAATTTTCTGTATGATCTTTTACATAATCTGAGATTTGTACTTCTCACAATGGTGGTATCTTCTGAACTATCATATTGAAAACATTCATTGTGTCTTGCTATCTAAGGAGAATGTAGCCTTCATTGTTGCCACATAGACATATATGAAAAAAATATTAAAGTTCTGAAAATATAGCCTCATTTATAAGCAAGGCAATATTTTCATCTGTTTATAAAGCTATGCGTGATTACATTCTTCATTGACAACATGTTTTCTGTTTTTTTGGTGGGGTGCAGTTTGCCACAGAACAGGAGAAACAATCCCTCTCACCAAAAAGCACCATTTACCTTTTTCCTCCCCGTACACATTTCTTTCTTTTCTGGAAAGAGGTTTAACATTGAAATGAAAATTCATCTGCCTATTCAATTTTAACATGCCATGATATTTAATCTTACAACTTGCCCCTGACTGTCTCTGTTGCTATAGAACTTTACTATCTTCAAGGCAGCAAAAGTGACGTGTTTTAAGTGCTATGTGGCTAGCTTCCAAGCCATGACTGCAGAGGATAAAATAAACCTAAATTGTGTTTTAGGACAGTTTCTTGATAGGTTTCTTGTAAATTTTAAAAATCTAGAGAAAGTCAGGTATTGTTAAAAAAGTGCCAACCATTTAGGAGGACATTACTTGTTTGGTTATACTTATTTTCTTTGTTGTGGTGGGGGGGAACACAGTTACCACCTCCCTTTTAGAGATGATGTAAGTACTTAGAAATAAACCTGGAGCATTGTGAGAGATGCCAGAGCACCACCCATTCTGCAAAGCTGCAGGGACTTTTAGGCACAATGGCATTGTACCTGTTTAAGGAACCTTCAGTTTAGGGTATTTGATATTTTACTGCATTTTCCCCCATTGTTAAGCCAGGACAATAATTACTCATAGAATTCTCTACCTGTGGTGATATTTACAAATATGTCTATTAATCTTTCCTCAACTCTATGATTAGTGTTAGTATTTGAAGACAAAGTAGGAGTCTAGGGAATACTTAATTATTAATGCCTTACTTAATTCAACAATTTAACCTACTTTTTCCTGATTTTAAAAACAGTATGTGCACATTATGGGATATTTTCAAATACTACAGAATATTGCCTCATTCCTGAAATCATTAGTGTATGGCATATTCGTGTTTTCTCAATTCATCATGTAATCATCTAAATGGATGCAAGTAGGTCTAATTTGACATCACAGTGAAAGTTGGAATTTTTTAGATCTCTTGCCTTTAATTTTGTATCAATTAATTATATTTTATTTAAGGTAAAATATTAAGCATCTCTTTTAAACACAACAGAAAAGTCAGCCAAAATATGTTTATTGGCGTATATTTATAGTAATATTTGTGTAATGGTATTTGCAAACGTTCTCTGCTCAGTTTTGTGGTTATGCTTACATCCTTCCACTGAGGGGGAGGAAGGACTGAAAACAAAGAGAAATCAATGTGATTTTAGGGAAAATGTTGGGAAAACAAAATTTCTATGGAGCTCATTTAGTGCTGCTTAGAACACCTGTGCTTTGCTAAGCCAGGCAGTTAGATAGCTCTGTGATATGTGTAAATAACTGACCTCTCTAAACTTCAGGTTCCTTCTCTGAAAAAATGAGGATAATAATAGTATTTATTTCAAAGAGTTGCTTTGAAGATTAAATGAAATAATGCATATTAAATGCTTTGTGCTGTGACTAACCACATTCGATTCACTCAAAAAACTTTTATTTATTTATTTATTTATTTAGTCAGTCATTGACTTTTGAGAAGCAAAGATAAAGTGACCCTACCTTCCTTTATTCATTTCTTCTCGTTTCTAGTCCCTTGCTACTTCAAGTGCACCCCTTGTATTTGTGACGTCAGAATCACCAGCAACACCTGGGAGCCTATTAGAAATTCAGAATCTTAGGCCTCATGCTAGACTTAATTTTTCAGAACCTGGATTTTCACAATATCCCTGTATATTAAAGCACTTTTTGTGCTAATTTCTTGCAATGGGAATGTTTTGTATAAGAGATATGAGCAGTGGAGAAATATAAGCTTTCGCTATCTTCTAAATTCTTTCCAATTTATACCTTTGAATCATGTTGGGAAGTGTATGTGAGAGTTGCATATTCTACTAACTTGTATTCTGCTCTTGGTAGGTGGCTTATTCTACAAGTGTCAGATGTGCAGTGCAAAGCTCCTATGTGCATATTGACTTATTATCTACTTGTTCTCTCTACGGAGAAGGAGGAATTGAAATTTCTGAGTATAATTGTGCATCTATCCATTTCTCCATGCAATTCTATCCATTTTTGCTTCATGTATTTTGAAGATCTGTTTTTAGGTGTATAAACATTTGGCATTGTTATATCTTCCTGATGCATTGATTCCTTTACCATTATGCAATGACCTTTTTTATTCTTTGCTCTAAAATCTACAATGCCTCGTGTCTATTGAGCTGTTCTAATTATCTTTGATTAGTGTTACATGTTATATCTTTTTGCTTTCTTTAACTTTTGACCTAATTGTGTCTTGATATTTAAAGCACATTTCTTATAGCTAGCAGGTAGGTGAGATGTACCTTTTATTCCTAATCCAGTCTAATATCTATACCTTTTAATGGGATATTTACACCCTTTATATTTTATGTGATTCTTTTTTTTTTTTATCCTCACCCGAGGACATTTTTCCATTTTTTGTTCAGATAGAGCGGGAGGGAGAGAGAGGAAGAGAGAGAGAGAGAAACATCGATGTGAAGGGACACATCGAGTGGCTGCCACCTGCACGACCAACCAGGGCCGGGGACAAACTGCAACCGAGGCACATGCCCTTAGCGGGAACTGAACCCGGGTCTCTCTTTACCGCAGGCCGACGCTCCAACCGCTGAGCCAAACCGGCCAGGGCTATATTTTATGTGATTCTTGATACAGTTAGGTTTGAGTTTATTATTTTGCAGTTTATTTTATTTGATCTTTGTTCCTTCTTCTCCCCTCCCCCCTTTTTTGTATTCTTTTGGATTAATGGAATATTAAAAAAAAATTTTGTTGGCTTACTAGCTGTCATTTTTTTCTTTTTTGGTATTTACTGGTTGTTGTAAGATAAATATAGAAATAGATAGAGATATAGATATACTTTTAACTAATAACAGTCAACCTTCCAATGATGGATCATATCATTTAGCTATATTATAGTAGTGTGGTACCATTTCTCACTTCTCATCTCACCTTGTGCAGTTAATTGTCAAGATACACTTTAATTTTATACCCATACTTACTATTTTTATTAAACAATCAATTATCTTTAAGGAGATTTAAATAATAACACAAATACCTTACATATTTACCCATGTGGTTACCACTTCCAGTGCTCTTATGTAGTCCATATTTTTGTTATCACTTCCTTCTACCCAACAGACTTCCATTAACAGCTGTTGAGGGTATGACTTCTTTGTTTTTGAATTTACAATAAAAGTTTTTTATTTAGCTCTAATTTTTGAAGATTTATTTATTTTTTAGTACCTTAAAAATGTTGCTCCATAATCATTACACTGTTATTTCTCCCAGCGAGCAATGGTTGCCCTTTGTCTTACTGACCACTTTTCTTTTCACCCAGCTGATTTGCTGGCTCCCATATCGGCAAACTATTGGCTAATATCTCATCATTGCTGGTAAGTACTCATCTGTGTTTTTGCAGGGCCTAATACTTCATTATGTTTTATCACATAATAGTACCCCATTACATGGACATATCACAATTTCTTAATCTATTCATTTATTAAAATGTATTTTGGTTCTTCTGGTTTTTGGTTAGTCTGAAAAAAGCTACTATAAATATGTACATGCAAGTTTTTGTATGGACATAAATTTTCAATTAAGTAGAGACCTAGAGTAATGATTACTGGATTGTATGGTAAAACTGTTTAAATTTGTAAAATACTGCCAAATTCTCTTCCAGTGTAGCTGCACCATTTTACATTCCCCCAGCAATGCATGCTGCATTCTCAGATGTTATTTTCTATTTTTAGGACTTTAGCCATTCTACAGGTGTGTAGTGATAGCTCACTGTTATTTTTAATTTGCCTTTCTCTAATGATATTTGATTTTATTATGTTTTCATATGCTGTTTGCCACCTGCCTGTGTTCTTAGGTGATGTGTTTATGCATGTCTTTTGTCCATTTTTTAAAATTGGATTGTTTGTTTTTCTATTGGATGAATTTTAAGAAGTTTAGTCATATTCTAGATATAAGTTTTTTATGTTTTGTGATTTACAGATTATTTTTAAGAACTCATCATCAAACCCAAGGTTGTACATATCTTCTATGTTTTCTTTGAAAAGTTTTATCACATTGTGTAAAGGTAGATCTATAAACTATTTTGTGTTTACTTTTGTAAGATGTAAAATCTTTGTCTTGGTTCAATTTTGTTATATTTCGTGTATGGATATCAACTTGTTTCAGCATCATTTGTTGAGAAGGCTGTCTGTTTACTAGTGAATTACCTTTGCCCTTTTATCAAAAAGAAGTTGTGTCAGCCTGTTTCTAGGCTCTCTTTCTGTTCTATTTATATCTATTCTTTCATCAACTACACTGTCTTGAAAACTATAGCTTTATAGTAAGTATTGAAATCCTGTAACAGGAGTCTCTACCTTCTTCCTTTTCAGAATTATTTTGACTATTCTAGTTTCTTTTTTCTGTGTCAATTTAGAATAGCTTGTTGATCTCTACAAAAAAGTTCACTAGGATTTTGATTAGAATTGTGTTAAATGAATATATCAGATTGGAGAAAATCTGCATCTTAATAGTATTGAATCTTCCAGTTCATGAACATGGCACATCTTTCAATTCATTTAGATCTTAAAACATTTTTTTTCTATGTGTATTTTATAGTTTTCTGCTGTCTTGCGCATATTTGGTTAGATTTTACCTAAGTAATTTTTTTTTGGTACTAATTAGTGTTAACTTTTTAAATTTATCAAATTTTAATTTTTCATTGCTAGTATGTGGGAATGGAGTTGACTTTAGTAGCTGATCTTGTGTTCTGTGACTATGAAACTTACCTGTTTTATGAGGTTCTTTTGTAGATTTTTTGGAATTTTTTACATAGACAATCATGTTGTCTGAAAGTAAGGACAGTTTTATTTCTTTCCAATCTATATGCTTTTAAATAAAAAGAAATGCTTTTTCTTGCCTTATTGAACTAACTAGAACTCCTAATATGATGTTGAATAAAAGTAGTGCTAGAGGATGTTATTGCCTTGTTTCAGATCTTAGTGGGAAAGCATTTAGTCTCTCCCATTAATTATGATGTTAACTATAGGTTTATATAGATACCCTTTATTATGTTAAAGAACTTTCTTTCTGTTCCTGGTTTGCTGATAGTTTTTATCACAGATGGATGTTGACTTTTGTGAGATACTTTCTCTGTCTCAATTGATATGATCATATAGTATCGCTTATTTATTCTACTAATATGGTCAGTTATAGCAGTTGATTTTTTTGTTTGTTAATCTTCACCTGAGGATATTTTTCCATTGATTTTTAGAGTGGAAGGGAGAGGGGCGGGAGGAGAAAAAGAGAAACTCAATGTGATAGAGACCCATCAATCGATTGCCTCCAGCATGTGCAGGGCTGGGTATCAAACTTGTAACCCTTTTGTGTGGGGGGCCAATGCTCTAACCACTTAGCCACATGGGCCAAAGCACAAAAGTTGATTTTTTAATGTTGAACCAGCTTTGCATGTTTGGGCTGAACCCCACTTAGTGGGATGTGTTATACTTTTATATGTTTCTGGATTTTATTAGTTAATATTTTGTTAAGGATTTTTGCTTAATAATGAGAGATATTGGTCTGTAGTTTTCTTTTCTGTAATGTCTTTTTCTGGTTTTATATCAGGGTAATACTGGCCTTAAAGAAGGAATTGGGAAGCATTTCTCCTCCTAAATTTCCTATAAGAATATATAGAATGGGTTTTAATTTTTTCCCTTAAATTTGTGTAAGAATTCACTAGTGAAGCCATCTGAGCCTGAAGTGGCTTCATTTGTTTGTTTTGTTTTTCCTATTTTATGGGAAGATTTTTAACTACAAATTAAATGAAGTTTTAATCAATATAGCGTCAATAAGGTTATGTATTTCTTGCATAAGCTATGGTAGCTTTTGTCTTTCAAGGAGTTTGTCCATCTTATCTGTGTTTTCAAATTTATATGCATAAAGTTGGAGTAATGCAGCAATTTGGGAATTAATGAAGTCAGTTTCTTAAATTATGTTAATTTTAACTTATTTGGAATAAAAGCTAATTTTTTTTCTTCCCCTTGAACACACTTAAAAAGAAGTATAAAACAGTTATTTCCCCTTAATGGAGGAACTGCTCTGTTTGTCGTTTTTTTGAGCTTGAGCTTAATAGTTACTTGATGGAGACAGTTGTTATTAAGACACTAAAGTAATTTGTTTTTATTTATTTTATTAACTTACAGTTTGACAGTCTGGAACCCATAAAGACTTTTTATAGCTAATTCTATTATATTTTTGCAAACTAACTTGCAAGAGACTGTCAGGTGTGAATATATTGACATGGGATTGCACAACAAAATTTGCAGCTGTGTGAATCAAGTCTTTATATTAATTATTGATTAAAAATAAGTGTTATCAATTTTTTTATAATAATGTATTACATATAAATTGAGTAGCGCCCACTTTTTATAATATATAACATTTTGAAATGAACTGTTCTGTTAGTGCGGGTTCACAAAAGAATTCCTATTTCCACAGCCAAATTGAAGTAGGCTTTATTTTCCATCTAGGCTTACTTAGTAAGGGCACGTGCCCACAACTCGTGCATGTGCCCTGACCGGGAATGAAACCGGCAACCGTTAGGTGCACAGAAATACACACAACCAACTGAGTCACACTGGCCAGGGCTATATTTGTTTTTTACACAATGGAAATGACTTCTCTGCCCATCTGTATTTCTAATCTAAATTAAAAGGTATATTTCTTATTTCCAATGGCATTTATGCATGGATTTGCATTATCTTTAAAATATTTTTATAAGTTATTTAAGGTACATGTAATTATTTAACTTCATTTTAGAGGTCTTGAGTTTAAAATGTCATTTTCACAATGTTTCAATTTAACTTTCTTTTTGCTTTATCTGGTAGTACAATCAATAGAATACATTATCATTGATAGACACATTTTTATATCATGTTTGAAATCTGTTTTAATTTATCTAATCTTTATCTAATGTTATTTTCCAAAATTTTATGAGATAATATAAAAATATTGCCAAATATTACAAAGCTTCCCAATTGGTCTTTTCAAGTCAGTTTTCTTTATCTTATTTTATTTTGCTGCTGCATTTTTGTTTTGTTTTTGTAGTACTGGTTATCATTCTAGGAAATTTGTAGAGTTTTTGTTCTTTTGAAGGTTTTTTTTTTGTTTTGTTTTTTTTATTGTTTTACCAACAACGAAATGCAATTTTAGCACTTAATACGTTTTCAGCATCCAATACATTTTCAACCCTTAATCTTATTTTGAAATAAGTCTTTTTTAGTAGTGGGTGTTCACTGCAGTGATTTTGGGGAGAGTTTGACAATTTATAAAGAGTACAATAAGGTTGTATCTCATTAATTATTTTATTGTTTTTGGAAATATACAGACTTTAAGAACAGTTTCTTAGTTTTGTATGCACTGAATTGGGAAGCAATTTATTTGTCATTTTTATTATCATAAACACTATGTGTGACTCTTAGTCTTTTTTCCTTCTGATCTGATAATAGCTAATATATTTAATTATGGCTGTGATGTGACTTTGAGAAATAAAAGAAAGGAAGGTTCTTTTGATAGCCATATGTCAAGATTATCTGTAGTGATAAGAATAAATAATGGGCCCTGGCCGGTTTGGCTCAGTGGTTGGAGCATTGGCCTGCGGACCAGAGAGTCCCGGGTTCAGTTCCCGCTAGGGGCACGTACCCCCCCCCCCAAAAAAAAAAGAAGAAATAATGGCTGGTTGAAGAGAATAGTGACTCTTCACTATATTCATGTTAACAGCTTTGAAAACTGAAATTCACAGAGGTTATATAACTTGCCTAATGTCAGTCAGTTAGTAAGTATTCCAGCTGGGTTTGGATCCATCACTTGTTCCTGAAGCACTAGCTCTTTCCAGTTACCCAGAGATACTTTTATTGGTCTACAGGTCGATGCTCCAACCACTGAGCAAAACCGGCTAGGGCCAGAGACACTTTTATACTAAAGAAGCAATTGGTTTTCAGCTGACAATTTTAAAAGATTACATATTTTATGTATTGTATTGAAATAGGGTGGTCTGATTGATTATAAATATATGTATGTAGATTTTGTTTTTAATGCCTCATAAAATAATGGTTAAGTGTAGTTTCCTTTGATTTCTAATATTACTACAAAGATTAATGTTTAAGTAGCATTCTTTGCTATTTGATTTTTATCTTTGACAGCTATAGATTTTTATCTTTCCATTATATACAAATATTCAGTACTTTTAAGAGCATAAAAGTCAGTTTTGTATAGTTTCAAATACTTTATTGGCTTATTTTTATTTATGTTCAGCCTAGCAATTTGTATTTGCTTTAGTTGACTCCATGTTATATAGCCATCTTATCCCCAAACAAGTCTTCTCTTTAGTCAACAATTTCCT